TCCCCTTTCCCCCCCTCTCTCCCTTTTGAAACCCCCGCCACTGACAGGTTCAGGTTCGAACCTGTTTTTCGTTAGCACTGCTCCGTCCGCGTCAAGATAAATGTGCTCCTCGCATGTCGGAACTCCATTCTGAGAGAGGATTCTCTCTCCGTCTCGTTCTCCCTTCATTTTGAGTTTAATCAACCGTTTGGCATGGGCCGTCACATGAGCCAGGTTTTCTAATCTGATTTCACACTTTCATGCACTTCATCCCCGCTGCTAAAGTGGGCTAGATTCCAGTGTACAGGCAGCTCCTGAGCCAACGTCCACAACAACAGTCTGTACCCCGTCCTCCAACCTGTTCTATGCTGCCTTCTGCTTGGCTCCGCGCACCGCCTGTAGGCTTTAGCTGAGGGATACATTTGTCCCCCTTCGTAACGTCTTACTGCGTTTATGTTTTCTTCTGATGCGTAGGAGATGGCGACAGGGTGTGGTTTCCCCGACTCTTTGTTGGACCAGCCTTTCAAGTCTTTGGTTTATGTGGCGTAGTGAACTGTAAACCAAACACTAGCCTGCAGGGCTTGAACCAATTATTGGGGGTGATGGATTGACATGTGTGTGTGTTTGCTAAGAAGGCACCATTTAGGGCTGTGTGCACATGTGGGATAGCACTGTTGTGGCGGACTCGCTAACCTCGTACTTTCTGTGTGCTGCGTAGGTGTGATGCAGAGGAGGGAGTTTGGCAGTTGAGCTTGTTTAAAAAAAAAAAAAAACGCGGTGTGTCGTTACTGCTTATCCACTAAAACCTGAACGTCACATAATAGTAACGATAAAAAGGAAGACAAATTTGGAATGAAATGAATCAATTTTCTTAAGTAATGAAGTCTGGTCAGTCCTCAGAACCACTTTATGATATTAAACTGGTAAACTTAAAAAAGTACTCGTGAAATGCGTGTGGCCTGACATTTGAAGGTATTTATAACGAGTAGTTTTTTGTTAAGGTAGTTAGAGAAAGATTTTCAATACTTTCAGATTATGTTTGATTTCCGGCAGGATTTAAAAAAAGAAAAAAAAAAAACAGCAGTGAATGATGCGGGGGAGTTGATGAGTTTCCTTTTTTTTTTTTTTTTTTTTTCCCTCCTCTTCGCATGGAGCCTCCTTTGAACCTTTGACGGCTCGCACCAGAGACCTCATGTGCCCATTGTTGGCTCTGCCTGAGTCCATCAGCACCCTGGGTGATTTATTTGGCTTCTGCTCCTCTGTGCCCAGGGATCTAGTTTCTGCCCTGCTATTATATGGCGCCTCGGAAACTGCTACTGATACGTCGAGAGCTGCATCTAGTGTCTAATGGTTACAGCCCAAGAGAAGAAAATCATTCACTGCCATTAGATTACAGGCACACTGATTCATGGGTATTGGTATTGTTTGGCCTAATGGGAATCAGACGAGGAGTTTGATAGCTTTTGTGTGTGTGTGTGTGTGTATACTGCGGTCGGTATCATGCTACCCAGCATCTGTGGATGGATGGAGTGCAGAGTCGCCTATCATTAGGGCAGATGATAAATAGCCGCTAAGTGGCTCTGTCGGTTCGAGGGGAAATGCGCAGAGGGGTGCCCGTGCCACCTCCCTTCATCCGTCAGCTCCAAACGTTGTTAAATGGCCGCTGCACATTCGTGTGTGTGCGCAGCTTCAATTAGGCCATATCTGCGGTCGTATCTGAGGCGCTCAATCAGTGCCGATTCTCTGTTTGTCTTCAGTAATGTTCCATGGCCCTCCGCCTGCCAAGATCAAGAGAGAGCTGACGAGCTCCAAGGAGCTTTCCCCCTGTCGTCAGGACAGGAGTCCCATGCCATACGGAGAAAAGTGCCTTTACAGCTACAGGTAAATGTCAGGTCGATCAAGAATGACCAAAAATGATGAATATTTCCTTGATATTTGATTTGACAAAAGAATCATCATTGTCGATTGGGTCGTCGTTGTTGTTGTTGTTGACTTGTGTCCATGCCCTTCCTTTCCAGTGCCTGCGACAGGAAGCCCTCTCCAGGGTTCAAGCCATTGACTCCTCCCTCAACACCGGTCTCCCCTTGCGGCCCCGCTAGCACGCCAGGAACACCTCCACACCCGCATGTAGCCAACGGTGCCGCTGGGCCAATTCCGGTGCACAAGCCAGCTCTCCCGGTCCACAGCCACAACCCGCCCTTTGCTGTACCCTGTGCACCCATTAGCCAGAATGCTAATAACTTCACAGCCGAACACAGGTTAGCATCGGGGCAAACTAATGTTTGTCTACTTTTAGACAAAAGGTCTTTAGGTATTCTCAATATCATCGTTTTTCTCATTTTCAGATTCCAGAGGCAAATGTCAGAGCCATGTTTACCCTACCCTCCGTCAGAAAGTCAAGGGCGGCCCCCATTTTTGCCCCAGCCTCACAGCAGGAGCAGCGTTAACGACGGCGGCATGGCCCGTGACGGGAGGCCACCGTACCACCGTCAGATGTCGGAGCCGCTGGTGGCTCTGCCTCCACAGAGCTTCAAGCAGGAGCTCATCGATCCGCGTTACGCCGAGCAGGGCGTCCCCACCAACATGGGTCCCCCAGGTGCGCCGCCGGGCCCCCAGTGTCAGGCTGCTTTCCATCCCATGGCCATCAAGCAGGAGCCCCGTGACTTCTGCTTTGATTCTGGTGAGTGTTTTATTCTTCTGGTAATAAAACCAACCGACCGTCCCTTTGCAGATGAAAATGATTTGTCTGTGAACAGGTTGAGGAATGTTTTTGGACCATATTTGTTCTGGGCACTTGGCTGTGAGTTTTAGCATGGAGCAGAGGCAGAGAGCTGGACTCACACACACACACACAGACTCACACACACACACACAGACTCAAGGGCTAATCTGTATCATTCTTCTAGAGTCACGTCAGCCAAGTAAAAGTGGGTCCTTTACTTTGGCATAAGCCTCCAAGGGCAGAAAGTAAATGGGTCATGTAGGCAGGTGCACAGAACCTCTCTCGTTGATCCTATACCTGAAATAGATCTAGGCCACGACGTCCTCAGAGGATTTGATGGTCTGCGTTCTGTAAGGTGCCTTGAAAGTTGCTTTATACTTTTTTTTTTTTTCTTCGGCGAAGTTCAATGATTGTGTCCCAACAAACTGCAACCGATGAGATGTCGCTTACATGCGAGGTATCGTATCTAAAGAGACATTGAGACTATCTCTGCTCATTCGTGCAAACTGTTGTCCAGTGACGTAATCGCAAATCCTCTTAGCGTCTTAAATACCCACGTCACACAGACTACGTGGTCGGAAAAAGCTGCATGTTCAGCACTTGAGGGCCACTGTGAAGTTCGTCGTTCTGGAGATCAGGTGTCACGAGGTTTTCACTTCGTCGCTTGTCAATATTCTTATTAACAAGCTATGTAAATTTGGTTTAAAAAAAATAAATATACTCTATTACTTTTTTCAGTATTTTAAAGGTTTCTGTAGTTTCCTGTAGAAATGCTATCCAGAAATTCCAGCTGTAATGTCCAAAAGTTTCTAAATGGCCACCAAAAAAAACGTTGTCGTATGTGTGCATGGTTCGCAATTTCTTTTCTTAATGGGTTTACCCTTTTAAGAAAGGGGGGAAAATAGGAGTGAGGGGGATTTCTTAATGGGTTTACCCTTTTAAGAACGGGGGGAAAAATAGGAGTGAGTGTGTGTGGGGGGGTAGAGGAGGAGGTTGTGCACTTTGCAGACTCTGTACGGCGAAAATGAAAACCAGACCATGCTCCCCTCAGAAGTAGGGGCCGGACTAGCATAACTCAATTGTCATTGAGATTTAATACAGCAGCCATAGTGCTAATCCTATTTAAGGACAAACGGGAGATGTTGTGCTCCCTGATCTGGACTTTGCTTTACTCCTACATTTATGCGCATTGGAGCAGGCGGGGGGAGGGGGTAATTGATCATCGGTCAAACACGACCACTGGTTGGACAAAGATACTTTCTCTATCCTTTGCTCTGATCCTTTTTTTTTTTTTTTTTCCCCTCTGTATTTATATTTGCCTACGTGACCGAAAAGCGCTCGTATAAATAGCTTGAACTGGACGTTGAACCCTTACGAGCTGCAGATACAATATCAAAGTGGAGCGTATCAGTGGCTCGGTGGCACATGTCCAAATATATCCGTCAGCTGTGAGGTGGATTTTGATGTAATACACACTCCCATAGGATGTTGAGCTCCGAGTTCACACCCCCTGTCTCGTTTGTTTACAGAAGTCCCCAACTGTCAGTCATCGTTCGGGAGAGCAGGCAACTACTACCAAAATAACCACGAAAGTAAGTTTGGACCGATTACGGCCTACTTCTTTTGGTGTCCGTCAATGTTGAGATTGGGACTGTCAATAATGGCCGTCTCGACTTGCAGAAACCGTAGATTAGAGAGGGAGGTAATCTGTTTAAATACATCGTCCACTGCGAAGGAACCACTTGGTGTAGTCTACCCTCTTGTGCAGGAACAATTTTCGGTGCCTTGGTTTGGTACTTGCCCCATAAGGGCGCAGTCCAAATGTCCAAATAAATCATGACAATGTCTTTAATTGTCGTCTTCCAAACTACAGGACCAAATATTGTTTGTTTTTTTTGCATCCAAATGTCCAAATAAATCATGACAATTTCTTTAATTGTCGTCTTCCAAATATTGTTGTGTATTTTGGTATTTTGTTTTTTTTTTGCGTAGTTGCCTGAACAACAATCTTATCGTCACACTCTCTCGTTTTTGTTTTTTTTCCGTACCAGGCTTTCCCTACGACAGAGATGCCCAGTTGTACTTTGACGACACCTGTGTGGTTCCTGAAAGATTAGAAGGTGAGACCCCCCTTCAATAAATAGGGATTCGACTCGATCTTTAGATTCTCCTCGGCTGCAGATGCAGACAACTGCGAGCGTTCTGCTCATAATGAATAGCTGGTCCGTTTTACAGCCTCCGTCTGGCTGGAATTTCTCACCACACTGTGGTCATGGTAGAGGACATAGCTGACTGACACTTCTCCACTCTCTGTCCTTATTGGCCTTCTGCTTCTCTGCTATTGTATAAACGACTTTTTTTTTTTTTTTCCCCATTTTTCTCTTCCATTTGCAGGAAAGGTCAAACAAGAGCCTCCCGTTTATCGTGACGGCCCACCGTATCAGCGCCGCGGCTCCCTGCAGCTGTGGCAGTTCCTGGTTACCTTACTGGACGACCCAGCCAACGGTCACTTCATTGCCTGGACAGGTCGTGGAATGGAGTTCAAACTCATTGAGCCTGAAGAGGTAAGAAAAGTCGAGATGCTTAATTAAGACTCTTTCCGGTATCTGTGGAAGTTGTTGATGAATCTGATGATTCATTTTTGTTTTTTTCCTCAGGTTGCTAGGCGATGGGGAATCCAGAAAAACAGACCAGCTATGAACTATGACAAGCTAAGTCGCTCGCTGCGTTACTACTATGAGAAGGGCATCATGCAGAAGGTAAAGGCACGTTCACCTTTTTTTTTTTTTTTTTTAACATATACATGAAGTTAACTGACATCCAAATTTACCGACTCCACGTTTAAGTCGATTTCAAAATGCTCAGCGACCGCCGCTGTTGGACTCATTCGTGATGGTCTCGTTGTTCAGGTGGCAGGGGAACGCTACGTGTACAAGTTCGTCTGCGATCCCGAGGCCCTCTTCTCCATGGCCTTCCCGGACAACCAGAGGCCCAACCTGAAGGCTGACCCCGACAGCCTCCCAGGCCTGGAGGACGACACGGTGCCCCTCACCCACTACGACGAATCCACTCCATATGTGCTGGACGCTGGGGAACAATGCGTGTCGGGCTTAACGTTTCCTGAAGGCTACGGGTACTGAAGCAGCAACTGCAGGGGAGAACGTGACCGACGTACACGTCACACACGTACCCGTTATATGTCTCCCTCTCTCTGCCCAATTGTAAAACTCACACCTGGATCCATAGACGGACCGGGACGTCTGCTCGTTTCGATGGTTCCCTCCCCCTGCTCCCCGAAACGTCTCGTGGAACTCTCAACAGTAGTAGCTAAGACTAAAAGAGGGGGGAAAAACCCACAAAAACACCTAACAGAGAGACAAACAAAGAGGGAATTCTGAAGGTCTTTGAGGTCAAACTCGACCGCAGTAGCGTGGACCCAGCGGACCCCGGTTGCGATGGAGACCAAACTGAGGGAGGCCAACGTCAAAATAAACTGGCATCCACCACCCACTGCCCTGCCCTACGTATATGACTGCAAAACTTAATACAAAAACGTCTGATTTTTTTTTCCTTCTTTTTTGTGACAATCTGCTTTTCTTAAAAAAAAAAAAACAATCAAATAACCAACACAGTAAAAAAAAAAAAGCTAACAAATAAAGTACAAATCAAATGAGAATATATATTAAATGCAGCATTGTGCTATAGTTGCCTTTTTGGGTCGCTCCCTCTGCCCGTAACTGTTTTCTCCGTACCTGCATCCGAACATCAGAATCTGTGAAAGGGCTTTAATTTGCAAAAAACAGATTATGATAATAATACAAAAAAATATTTTGACTTTTAAAAAGAGTATTTCTTGGTGTCCCAGGACTCTCAGGTTTCTGGGCTGTAGCTGTATTTCAGACTACTTTTTTTTAAATGGTTCTTTTCTATTTGTTCAAATTGTATCTCCCCCTCTTTACGTCTGGGTCATATGTTCTTTCTTCTGAGTAGCTGAGGTGTTCCTCCACACAGATAAAACACCTGTCTATGTCAGGCTGAACTGGACCAATCAGTGCGACAGTAAATTAGACTCGATAATGACAGGAGTCTGTCAACATTTCCTGGTCCCATTGAGTGACACGCTCTACAGGCGTTAGAATCGACATCCTTATATTTTCCAACATTTGTTATGAACTTTATAGCTATCCAAAAAAATTTTTGTACTGCTGTACTGTTATTAAGGCCTTTAGAGTCGTGTGGCAGCATTCAAGTCACATGACATTAGATGTTAACCTGACACAAAGCAAAAAAAAAAAAAACTCCTCCACCAGCTGAATTTGAAGGTGCTATGATTTGTGGAACATGACTAGTCCACACGGTCACCTTTGGGTCCATGTCCACCATTCTAAACACATAATATACATCATTTTGACACTAAAGAATGTATGACCCAGGCCTTAATTTTACATCCTAAATACCCCGTATCACGCCATCCATCACAGCTGGGTTCTTTTATCGGAAATATAGCACTCTATCTTTCCCATGTAGGAAAAAAAAACAAAAACAAGGATATATTCAGAGATTGCATATTTTTGCCGGATAATTTACAAAGTTATAACTAATCGTGTATAATAATAATAATAATAACCAGTCGCTAAGCTCCTTTTCTCTTTTGTAAACTCTCTGGATGCTCAATGTTTTCTTGGCAGTGTCTTAGTCCCTCTGATGTACCAGTATGGCTGTAGCACCGGACAATTGCATGCATAAACCAACCAAAAAAAAGTGAAAGTCAAGTTCAAGTTAATTCTGTCACCGTTTTTAATTTCACAATTAACCACACGACACGTGATCAGAAAAACTCTCTGCTTCTCTCTGCATGGTCCACTAACATATCGTTGTTTTACCGTCTCTGGACAAAGAAGATATTCTTGAGTAATATTATATAACAATATAATATTCCCTGCATTTTCTTCTCTTTTTTTTTTTGTGTGCGTTTATTTGTTTTTGTACGGGGGCAAAGACTTATAAAAAAAAAAGTATATATTTTTGCTATAAGGCTGCGTTTGTTTTTGTTGTTTTTTTTCTCGATTTTAACGTATAAGCTGTATAGTTCCAGCTTTAATAGAGATGTACCTTTTTAAAAATGACAAACTTAAACATCTTCTTTCTTGCTATGCTACCACTGCAGACTGTTTAGAACTGAGACGAACACTGCCTCCTGTGGTCGGAGACCAGACATGTTATATTTTGGCAATGTATCATGAGATCCCACCTCAGACACAGAGGTTGTCTGCACTTGTACAGGCTTTAGTCCCGCCTCCCAGCCCCTGTCACAATGTGTTTCTTACACTGCTGAGTTTGTAATAATCTGTACTGGGTACAATAAACGCTCTTCTATGCTCAACTCCCTCTAGTCTTCGTGTGTTTATCTCACCCCCTCCGCCCCCCCTTCTCTTCTTTTCACTTTGGAGTCAGTCGGTCAGTCAGCTGACTGCTTTGTTCTGGCAGTCACTCTGCTTGACCTGGCTGATTTTCTTAGTCACATGCCTGTCCTGACTATCAGTGGGTTAACGTTTTACTCTCTTATGAGTTCTGCTTAATGACTTTCAGCAACACCCATAGAAGGGAAAAAATATATATGCACAAGAGGACAAAGAAAACTCCCATCCAAATCCAAAATTTCCTCTATGGACTTCACGGTTTTCATATAAAAATACAGCACCAAAAAATAGGACGTAAAACAATAAAAACTAAGGATAATATATACGGACGATATTGAAATTATATTAAGGAAATGAAGGGGATGGTGTATCTTACAGTTAATAAAGAAAACCAAATATGGATCACACGCTGAGCCAACACTTGGCAACAGTGGGTTGAAAAACAAACAAACAAACAAACCAATCCTAAGCAGGTTTAACTGTCCTACTGTAGATGGCTGCAAAAAAAACTGTCGGTTTGGCAGTGTTTGACCGCCAGGGTGGTGTCAATTTGAGACAATAGATATATCACTGTTATCCATGAGACGCTCGGCTACTGAACAATAAAGATCCCCACCACTAGAGGGTGATAATGTGACAGTCAGATACCGTATTTAACATGATCCGCTAAGCAGCAGAAGGCACTGAGCCATATTTGCTCAAGTGCCATCCAGTTAATTAAGTACAGCTTTGTGAATGAAGGCATCGAGGTCGAGCCAAGGGTCAGGTGTGTGCAGTTTAGCGCTATCAAACAAAGTACATGTGCATTCAAAACTGAAGAGGTATTGGGAAACCCGGTGAAATCTTTGAATAGAACAAGGTCTGTCCTGTCACTGACTGGAAACTCTAGGTGTTCTACTTACAGCCAGTAAGTAGGTAGACGTGTGGCATGGAGTAAAAAAAGTGATCACCACAGCGGACGAGTTGGTTTTACCTGAGATAACCTTTGAGATGCGGCAGTAAAGAAGTTGATGACCATGCCACTCTTAAATTAAACCTTTAGTCACTGTGTTGCAGACTTGGCCTCAGACATACTGCCTCAGTCAGGCAACTAGAAGACCTCACTGCAGTCACAAACGTTGAACTGCTGTTGATTTTTCTTGGATATTACTAGGATTGTACTTCGCACAAATACATATGGTTTTATGGTGCTAGCTTAAGCGAGGTTCGGTTCAGGAATGCTTCTGCTGCATGAATTCACTGAGAAACTTTCCGCACTAGCAGGATTGTGTTAGTGTGTAAAGTGATGATCAGAGTTCCACGAGGTGATGGATGCTAGCAGGAAAACCATCGACTTAATTAAAACTAATGGCGTGAATTCCAAATGTTTTGACAAGCTTCGCAAAAATGTAGGAGCTGGTCATGTCCAGAGCTCTATCACAGTGAGGCGAGATTGCTCTCAAGAAACAGCTGTGCATTTTGTAGCAACAAACAGCAACATAGTTGTTCAAGGTCTCAATAACAATACGTTCGTTGTGGACCCAGGAAAAGAGGACAGAGATGTTTCTACTGCACCAACTGTGGACTCCATTTTTTTTGTCCATTAAGAACTCTTTGACTGAACAGAAGTAGTTCTCGCTTACAGAAAATGCCTGTGTTTCTTAAGTAGTGTGAGTTTGTGAAGTTGTCTTGGTACTAAAGGAAACATCTTTTCATAGTGGGTCACGATTTAATTAACAAAAGACGCTTTTAAATAATAACCTCCTTAACAGCCTCACAAAATAAAAATAAATGCTCAACAATACTTTCAAACCAACCTTCTCCACAGACTAATTAAGACAGGATGCAACAGAATGTCACTGACGTATAGACCGCGATACAACACTGCCCTCTAGTGGATGGAAACATTGTGGGTCACTCTCCAAGGCGCAAAGAAACTGGTTCGTCTTCTTCTTCTCCCCCAAACATGTGAAATATTATCGTACTTGGCAACGGAAAGAATTTTTCAGCCATTACAAAAGATATATGTCATATTTGTGTGGAGCTACAGCATTTCTGATTGGGGCTGGGTACAGAGTAATACCGCCGTGGTCTAGAAAATAAAAGCCTGTTTGAACGGCAAAAATTTTTTTTACCACTTTATAATGTAAAAGGGGTTGGTAGAGGATGTTTTATTTAATTTTTTTTTTTTTACAGTTGTTGGCAGGTGCGTTAGCAGGTGCGCTGTATTTATCTAATTAGCCTCTAGCTCGAAGCCTCAAAAAAATTAGCCAAGTAATAAGGTTTGGTTCTTTTAGTTAATAAAAAGGTGAACACGCCAGCAAAAAAGTTAAATATTTACGTTTTTGTTTTTACTAAATACGTTGAAACCCTAACCAAGGCAAACCTTTTTTTTAAAAGTTAAAATGGCGTTTAACCATGTCGATGCATCCAGGCTGTCGGGCGCTTATAACGAACCGTGTCTTCCTCACCACTATCATCATCATCATCATCATGGTTTCATCATTAATTCTTTATGGGCAACGCCGTGTAATTTTCCAATAACATCAGCAGTAGTGTTCGTTGACAGCCCGGGTTACACTTCGTGGAACTATCCAGGTTTTCTGGAAGCTTCTCGTGGAACAATTGGTTTCGTCGGACCGCTGCAGGAGACACAGTCAGAGCAGAGTAAAACGATCTTTGTTTGGACGATAAGTCGATATTTTACAGTTTTAACATATATAGACTTCAATTTGAAGATTAAAAATTAGTAAAAAGTAAAAATGTATGCTTAAAATATATACCCATTAATGGTCAGCTTTACCAGTGCTTTACACGTTTGCTTAGTTTGATGCTAATGCTAACCTAGAGTAGATATTGGAGTTAATTTAATTGATTTGTTGATTGTTGTTGGTTAACGTTGTCAAAAGTTCTCAAGTCCCAGACTATATATAAGCTCTGGACAATGTTTTGGGCCCCAGAATTGTATTTTAATTTAATTTTGTCTACATGTACAAATACAAATTTTAGGTTTACGTTTGTCACACTCTGTGTTAACATACTTTGGTTAAACTCTGATAAGTGTAATAATGTCAATAATCAGTTGATACCAAAAAGGTTTGGAAACTGCCAAGAAGTGGATGAGTAGAAGATTGAGGAAGTTTTTATTCTCTATAATTAATAAAGGTTTTTGCAGTAATATTAATATATATATTATTGTGTCCACATTAATTGTAAACTAGTATGTCACTGGTGTTGACTTTTTTTGTTTTTTTTTCCTGTTTCTATGCCTTCACCAACAGCAAAGCGCAGGACGTGTTTTCTGGAGAGGTATTTATGCATTTGTATAACTGCAGTTCAGTATGTACAGCCCATGTAACAGTGGTTTTTAGATTTTAAAAAAGCTGTTTTTCTCCATGCTGCAGGTCTGTATTTGATCTGGTGAAAGAACATCCTTACCTGGATCTGACAGACCCAAAACTGCTTGGCTGGTATCTTTCTTTAACTGCACAGGACCGAAGCATCATACTGGGTATGTTCCGTAAAACTAAGCTTCAACTTCACCGTTTTAAAATTTAACATTTTAATTTGTAACATGTCATATTATTATTCTTTACCTAGATGAAGGAGGTTTTCATCGCTTTCTGCAAAGACATCCTGCCTTAGGATTGACCGATCATCACGTTTATGTAAAGTTTGAGTGTGAGTTTAGGATCTAAGGTTCTCGTAACATTGCATTTCAGTGGGATTTTTTAAAATGTAGTAATAAATGCTGTCTTTCATAAAACCTGCAGATCCCAATGAAACGAGCAGCCTGTTGTCTCCGTCTATGAGTTCCAGTGGTCATAAGTATACTTCTAATACTCAAAACAGTCAGTGTATTCAATTTAAATACATTTGCTTTAAGAAGACAAACCTTTGTACTTGACAAGGATCCCTGTGGCTAATACTCTGCATCGATTTCTGCTATATGTGCCTCATCCAGGCCTGGAGATGCTTCAAGATAATTTGAAAGACCACTTATGTCAACAACTGGTTCCCCAGGAGGACATTTTTGATACACCCTCCAGCGGCACCGATTCTCAAAAACCAATCAACATGGTATAACGTTTTCAATTCATCTGTGGAACTTTTTTTTTTTTTTGCCTATGATTTAATTTTGAAATGTATTATGTTTTCTGAACCTTGAACAACTGGTTGGGGTTTTCAAGGATCCAGAAGGCTTGGAAAACTGCTCCTTGGACTTGGCGCTTGACCAGTGTTTTCAAAAGAAAAATCTTGAGGAAAATTCAGCGATGTGTGGACAGAGTGCTAACATCGCTGCTAACCTTGCACAAGCAAATCCATTAAAGTGAGTATGAAATAACTTATTCTTTTATTGACTTATTTAGAGCTATGAGAAGGCTTTAAGCTTTTAATTTTTGCTATGTGGTCTCTATCAAACTAAATGAGCTGTAAATTTATACAAAATCCCCAAAACCGTGGTTCAGTCAGGGTCAAATAGAACAGTATTATTATTTTTTTTAAGCTGTAAGATTGTCAGTACTCAGACTGGTTCATGATGGCTAGACTGAAAAGGCTGCAGCTTTAGTTTAGAAAATGCTTATCCAGCTATTACCACCCAAGTGAAAACTTTTACAGAAGGCCAAATGTATTTTGGGATACAAGCTGTGCACCATCCAGCTGTTAGCTAATCAGCAGAACTAGATTATATTTTATTTGGGTTATATTTATGGGTATCAAGGAACTATGTAGATCAGGGGTGTTAGTTCAGGGGCCACACTGGCCGCATCAGTACACGTTTTCCCTGTATTTTCCTGCAAATAACTACAAGTATATTATTAAATATTCATATTTAATGAAATATCATTTGACAAAACATCATGAACATTAAGTGTTGGTGCATTATTTTCACTTTCAAACTTCATCAAGTGGGCCAGATTGAGCTCCCTGGTGGGCCGATTTTGGCCCGCGGGCTATATGTTTGACAACATATGATTGGTATGCGGGCTATATGTTTGACAACATATGATCGGAATGTATAACCAATCATATGTTTGATCGGTTATACATACCACATATTACTGATCATTTCCTGTTAGTAGGTCAGACCAGTCATTTTATAACGAGTGCTACTCAGAGTACTGCAGCTGTGACAGCATGGAGAGTGACGACCATGACGACAGCATTGAGAACCCTATTCATTTGCATGGTCATCCAGAGCCAAACAGGAAAAAGTCCACCAATGATGGACCAATTCAGAACAAGGTTGGAGGTGAGCAGGATGACAGGTTTAAAAACATCCTGGGGGAAGACACGAGCATGGTCTGTCTGGACGGCAAGGGAACGATGGGTCATCAAAAAGACGGTCATTCAGGTCTGGCCAAAGCTTACAAAGAAGCAGCAGTAGATGCCAGTGACATCATAAAACCTGGACGCACACCAGAGAACATCAGCGTTCCCAGCTGTAATGCTGTGATTGGACCAGACCTGGCACAGAGCTCTCCAGTTTCTACTCAAACTGAGGCTGAAGCTCCAGAGACTGCAGATAAAAACGTCATGACTGAGCTCCAGATTTCAGATCTGAACTTTGTATATCAGGTAGGATTTGCTTTCCCGCTTGATTTAGGAAATCATGCACATTCTCTTTCAGTAGGAACTGTATATTAGTAAGACATTTTCTTACGTTTCCTAAAACATATTTCAACACTT